ACACGGGTTGGAAACATGCAACAGAGTCAAGCATGCAGGAAGAAGCAAACCAGCTTGATGAGAAAGAACATCCTCGTAGGGGCGAAGAAAGTGTCCCCTCAGGTAGTTCCATGTCAGCTGACTCCCCGTCCTCCAAATTTGGCTGTTCAAGCTCGCTCCGGTTATTGGCCAATAATGACACTGGTGCCTCCGGTTCTGAAAATCCCTTGGATGTTAAAGGAGCAAGGCGAACCGAAGAGGCTCGTGATCTGGATAGCACGGAGGAAGTTGCGGACGGGTGGCTTTCTTCTAAATCAAGTAATATTCCCGATAAGCAACATGTGTATTGCCACAGGGCAGTGCATTCCAAAGGATCAAGGCCAGTGGATGGGGCCTTAAACAGTGATGGCCCTCTTGAGGACGTCTTAAAGTCTGGTCATCTGAATCCCAGAGTGCAGAAATACATTAGCTTCAGCCTACCGCTGGCGGGGGCGGCCACATCCGATGGCCCAGGTGACAGGGCCACGATTCAGCAGCAAGGCAGCCCACAGGTGTCCAGCGAAGACTCTGACAGCGACTATGAACTTTGCCCAGAGATAACCCTAACCTGCACCGAGGAGTTTTCAGATGATGACCTAGAGTATCTGGAATGTTCCGACGTTATGACGGATTACTCTAATGCAGTTTGGCAAAGGGACCTGCAGGGGACTGGGCAGGTTTTTTTATTAGAAAGCAACGATGAAGAGATGGAATTCGGTTCGTGTGGCCCGGGTGGGCGTGAGCATTTCCTCAGTGAAATGGGTTGTGGGCCTCGGGTGTCAGATGACATGGAGCCTATGGATGCCACCAGTGGCTTCTGCGGTAATCACTCACAACCCCAAGAAGTAGGGGTGAGGAGCAGCCAAGCCTCCACCCACAGTCCCTCATCCCTGCAAACGGGGATGATTCTGACCTTGGGGCCTCACCGGGATGTAACGTCTACAGTGACAGACCAGGCGAGATGTAAACTACCCACTGCTTCTGAGGCTGCTGAAAATGATTATCCAGGAATTCGAAGAGAAACCAGAGACAGCCACCAAGCAGGAGAGGAATTCACCAGTGACAATCTGCTAAACATGGATAAAGCGGTGACAGAGACGGCGATGAAGCGTCTGTCTGGTGAGTTAGAAAACTCAGGGGTGGACCAGTGGTTGGAGATTGCAGCCGAGAAAAAAGTAGGGGACGAGGTTTCATTGAGCAAGAGGGGCTCCGAGATACCTGCCGGGGTGAGGCGGCCAGAAACCAAAGGAGAACCCAAGAAGCTGAGCCCCAACTTGAAAGAAAGCACAACAGAGGCCACCCTTAATCTCCTCTATCCCAAAGAGCCTGTTAAGCGCCCATTAGCCCAGAGTGATAAAAGAGACGGTCCTCATGCCAAAGCAGAAGCTGTTGATTGGAATTCCCAGTTCCGTGCAGGAGAATGTGCCGTTCCAGCCCAAGCAGAGCAAGAAGCAAAGACCCTGCGAATTCCCCTGGGCCCACCCCCCCAAGGAGGGAACTCAAACTTCGAGGGAGAAGGGGTGTTGGTCGGTACCCTATGTGAGACAAGCGGGGTTCCAGACGGCAGTGCTCATCCTCAGGTAAGACTCCTCTTTTTAAAACTTACTAGATGAAAGGTATTTGTGTGTGCATGCGTGTGCGTGTGTGCGTGTGTGCGTGCGTGTGTGTGTGTGTGTGTGTGGGTTTCTCTTCATTTCATATTATGATCGCCGTACCACAATGTAAATCACAAGAAGTCTCCCAGCACCATTAGGGTATTTGTGAATGACAGCTGCTGCTGGTAAGAAGGAAATCTGGTTTTGAAAAAAGGCCCAAATAAACCCTAAGCCATCCTAATTATAGCAAAAGACCGATAGAAGCAAGAGGCACTAATGGGATTCTGGACAGCTGGAAAAAGAAATTTGATATTTTGTCTACTGCATGTGTCTCACCAGGCAATGTCCCTATTCAGAAAGTTTTGCAAGCAAATGTTTTGGGTGTAGACTTTAAAAGGAAAAAAAACAAAAAACTCGCCTGAGTCAGTTTTTGGGAGCACTTTAAAAATGTGAAGTGCTAGTTGGAATCAGAATTCATAGTAAAATGAGAGGTTTCAGTGGTCTAAATGATTTGTAGAATTCACTTAGTGGTGCTGGGAAAAGTAGACAGAATTGGTTTTCTGTGCCGAAAAATCAAAGTAGATTTTTGAACCAATGTATGTTTTGTTTTTCTGAGATCACAAATACAAAAGAGGCTAAGAAAATACTGCCTGGAAGTAAATTTGTTTTACTCTATTCCTGATTGGGTGGGTGGGGGGGGGGGTTGTATTTGAAAGAGATGGAATTAAATTCATGGCAATAATCAATGCACAAAAGACATTGTGCATGATATATGAATTTATTGTATTTTTAATTTTAAAGGGTCCCAAATGGGCTTTGAACTAATGCTGTACCATGGCCAAGATTTTATTTTTGTAAATAACTACCTAAGACAAGTTATTAATCAGTTATTTTTACCATCCTACTTTACTATGTTCCCCCTCCCCCCCCCCCCCCCACCAACTTCATAGTTTAGGAACCTAGTATTGTTTTTATAGATCAGGCATTCTCCAAAGAAAATGAAATACTCCCAAATGCATTCAGTTACTGAACTCTGTGAAAAAGTAAACATGTAATACATCGGTTTCTAAAGACCTAGTCCTAAAATAGCCAATCAAAAAATCTCCAGATCTGAGGTAGCTTTTTCCTGAGCAAATCATTCTGCCCCACTGGCCAAACTCTGTCACGTAAAAGTCATGTTTATACTTTATGCAGGAGAGCCAGCTTTATACTATTTGGTTGTTAAAAAAAATTTTTTTTAATGTTTATTTTTGAGACAGAGGAAGAGCATGAGCAGGGGAGAGGCAGAGAGAGAGGGAGAGAGAGAGAGAGAGAGAGAGAGAGAGAGAGAGAGAGAGAGAGAATCCCAAGCAGGTTCCAGGCTCTGAGCTGTCAGCACAGAGCCCAACGCGGGGGTCTAAGCCACAAACCGTGAGATCATGACCTGAGCTGAAGTCGGAGGCTTAACCGACTGAGCCACCCAGGCGCCCCTTCTATGTGGTTGTTTCGCATACCGCTGGAGTGATCGCACGCCAATGAGCACAGATGCACACCCAGGATAAGCTTATGGACGTGGGTTAGCAAAATATTAATACAAAGTTAAGTTGCAGTATTAATTTTTTCATGTCAATAAACATAGCGTTTCCTTTTCTAGTCATCAGATGCTCTTCCTGGCTCAGATAAGTACTTTTTACAACTGTTCATCCACATCGAGCATTTTATTGGGCAAATTACCTTGACTATTAAAAGTTTGGGGTGGGGGGGAGGGGGTAAAGTGGCCAATGAGGAGCAGGTGGAGAGGAAGAGGAGAGTGACAAAGTTAGTTTTAGACCCACCACTGGGGGAGGCAGGTTCTAGCTTCCTCACCTGCCAACAAGGAGGGGAGGCTAAGGAAGGAGCCCCCTTTGTCATTTTCGGCTTGTGCCCCTAACTGCAATCTGAGACTGGAGTCTTGGGGACGGCAAGCCCAATGCAGCTAAATAACACGGGCCATCTCCGGGACCACAGTCGACGGTCTCATGCACATCCTTGTGGCCACCAGAGTTCTTGTGGGACCCTTGCTTCTGCACTCACACGCACTCACCGCTCCTGCTTTCTGCTCGAGGTCTGAGGTGCGTCCTGTGTTTTGTGGCATGGCTAAGTGACTCTCTAGAAAGCTTGCCCCGTGCGGGTAGGAGGGCTCTTCTCACTTTGCTGTGCCCAGTAGCAGAGCTGGCCTGTCACTCAAGGGCAGCCAGAAGTGTGAGTGCAAGTTGTGTATTCAAGAGTAGTTCTGTGCAGTCCCAAGTTAGAAATAGGACTGGGGCGCCTGGCGGGGGGTGGGGGGGCTCCGTCGGTTAAGTGTCTGACTCTTTGTGTTCCGTTCAGGTCATGATCTCACAGTTCAAGGGATCGAGTCCTGCGTGGGGCTCTGCCCTGACAGCGTGGAGCTTGCTTGGGATTCTCTCCCCGCCCCCCCGACCCCTCCCTCCCCTTAAAAATAAATAAATAAGGATACCAGGGTGGCTCAGTTGGTTAAGCGCCCGACTTTGACTCAGGTCATGATCTCACAGTCGTGGGTTCGAGCCCCACATCCGGCTCTGTGCTGACAGCTCAGAGCCTGGAGCCTGCTCCAGATTCCGTGCCTCCCTCTCTCTCTGCCCCTCCCCCACTTGCACTCTGTCTCTCTCGCTCGCTCTCTCTCAAAAATAAACATTAAAGTACATAAATACATAGATAAATATTTTTTTAAAAAAAGAGAGAGAGAAAGAAATAGTACCTCTGTATCTGTGGCATTTTTTTTCCTTAACAAAAAGTGGGGAGGGGCGCCTGGTTGGCTTAGTCAGTTGAACATCTGACTTTGGCTCAGGTCACCATCTCCCGGTCTGTGAGTTTGAGCCCCATGTCGGGCTCTGTGCTGACAGCTCAGAGCCTGGAGCCTGCTTCAGATTCTGTGTCTCCCTCTCTCTCTGCCCCTCTGCCACTCGTGCTCCGTCTGTTGCTCTCAAAGACTAAATAAACATTAAAAAAATTAAAAAAAAAAAAGTGGGGAAATGCTGCAGGGACTGTGGCACAGTGAGTGCCCATTTTTTGACCCATGCAAAAAGTCAGTAGTCTCACTGTGGAAGAGGCCCATGTTTCTTACATGCAAATACAATATAGCCAAATTTCCACCAAAGGCCTAAATATCACTGCAAATGTGACGCAAAAGCATGAGAAGGTCACTAGGAGCTAAATCAAACCTGTTAAAATACCACAAAAAAAAAAAATTGGTGAATCTTTCTGTAACTAAGACAAAAAGACATTTGAGACATTTATTCTCAGACAACTGAAGCTTGTGGGAACTTGAAATTTGAAATGTTAGAAATTCTTGGTTGGGGGTAATGTTAATAAATCTGCCCACTCTTGACTCTTGCCTGATTCACTTACCTTGAGGCGTCTTTTTTTTCCTTTCTTTCTTTTTTTTGGAGGGGGGAGAAACAATGACCATCAGCTTATCGTTTAGCAGTTTCTCTTCATCTGTAGATTGCTTTTAGCAATTCTGAGGAAAATCCCAGACCTCTCATTCTGCTGTGTTCTAAGAACAAGGCTATATTGTAGAATATCTCCTACCTAAACGAGTGGACTTATTTCCCATCTGCCTTCCCTGCTTTTACAGTGCAAGGCCATTCCGATTTGTCTTGAAGTAGTGTTTACCCAGGCTAGGATTGGAGAGCCCCCAGTTTCTCTACAGCTACAGAAGATTCCAAAGTTAATCCCAGTTGGGGAGTGGAAAGCAGAGAGGGTACCCCAGGCTAACTTGAATCGTCTTCAAGGGTCACACAGCCAATCCTTCACCTTGGTTTTGCTTTTGGTTTTATGATCCAGCTCAGAGGCAAGTCTTGACGCCCTGCCCATCTTAAGTTTCCTTGTAACCACCCGGCGGTAAGATCGCCCTCGCTCTTGAGTCAGAAGTGCTGTGTCTGTCTTTCTGCATCGCTGCCCAGCTTCACGCTAGAGAGATTTGCATTTCTCTTTGGGGTGATGGGATCTGAAGAGTACAGTATGAAAGTGGAATCTTAGGTTTTGAGAGTTAAGAATCTTCCTGGTCGGGAATCAGCACTAAGCACACAAGGTGGTGAGCTCCTTGATGGCAGGGAGTTTGGCCACTGTGTTTTGTTCACTGATCTATCCCAAGTCCTGGGAATGGTGCTGGCCACACAGTAGGCACTCAATAATTGAAAGAACAAGCAGCCATATGGAACTAGATTTAATTCCATTGATTCCATAAAGATCGTTGGTCTCAACCACTTTACGGCCTTTGGTGTTCATTCTTTGGTTCCCTTCACATACCAATTCTCCAAATCACTTCCCATTGCTTCCCATTGCTTTTTTTGGCCCTGGGAATCGATTACTTTGTACTAAACTGTAAACACCTTGCACTTGGGTTCCCTTGTGAATGCTGGAGATTCACATATAACCTGGGCCTCATCAGTGCCTTGTTAGCTTTTACAGATTGCTGATTAGATCCAGGAAGACCTTACCACATCCCCCTAGCATTCAAGACCCTCTGCCATATTGCTCCCATCCACCTCTGAGTGGCGAAGCGGACAAACACGCCGCTTTCTTCAGCGGGTAAATGAAGCCTTCTCCCAGACATGCAGTGTTTTCTTCTGTCTTGCCTGGAAATAGCCTCGCTCGGCTTGTTGCCAGCTCAGTTCCTCTCATCTTGCGAGGCCAGCATCCTGCAAGGTGCTTCAAGTTGCCTTCCCTGCCCCCACCCCAAAGCACAGTCCTCATCCCTAACTGTGACTTCTCCTTCCATTCTTGTTCTCATCCTCCGTGTCATGCAGTGGACTCTGCGTTTGGGTCCTGTGCTATTGCTTTCTGACCCCGTGACCTTGGGAAAAACTCCCGAAGCTCTCCCAGACCCAGTTTCCTCATCTAAAACAGAAAACAGAAATCATAATAACAATCATGATAATAGTGCCTCGTAGAGTGTTATGAAGATTAAAGTCTTGAACATGAAACGCGGATCGCAGTACCTATTACGCTGTTAGCATTTAATGAGCATTATCGTTTTTATTTTGTTTATTATTTTGCTTTTTTTTACAAAGATTTTGTTTTTAAGTAATCTCTGCATCCAATGTGGGGCTTGAACTCACAACCCCAAGATCAAGAGTCACATGTTCTACCGACCGAACCAGTCAGGTGCCCCTTTTATTTACCTTCTTAATACTTCTGTCCTTTCCCCCGTATTGAAAGCGTATCAAGGGCTGGCTGGAAGTGATTTTATACCTTTTTAAAAAATATTTACTTATTTTTGAGAGAGAGAGCAAGTGTGTGAGTGGGGGGGGGGGCAGAGAGAGAGAGAGAGAGAGAGACAGACAGACAGAGGATCTGAAGCCGGCTCTGTGCGGACAGCAGAGAGCCCGATGTAGGGCTCTGACCCACAGACTGTGAGATCGTGACCTGTGCCGACATCGGATGCTTACCCAAGTGCCCAGGGTAAGCCAGGTGCCCCTATGCCTGTTTTTAACTGAAACCTTCCTTGAGATAATGGTAGGTGCACACACACGGTTGTAAGAAACAACATGGAGAGAAGGCTGTGCACTTTACTTTGCCCAGGTTCCCCCCCGATGGTAACATTTTGTAAAACTGTAGCATAATATCAAAACTAAGATACTGATATTGATACTATCTCGTGATCTTATTCAGATTTTCTGAGTTTTACTTGTGTGTGAGTGTATTCATGAAAATCTATTGAAATTTATCACCGGTGTGGGCTCGTGTGATAACTGTTAGGAAACTTCATGCTCATCTGAGTTCAGCTTAGTAGCTAAGCAGGTGGTGCAGGGATGACACAGTATATGACAGCTTGAAATGTGCGTGGCCATCCGGTGATAGGCAGGACACATAGCCCTCCAATAATTTTTTTTGATTTTTTTTTTTTTTTTTTTTTAGCATAGGAAAATAGATAATCTCAACCTCCTTGTAATGTAGTTTTCATACCTGGGATAGAGCAACCCGAAATTTAAATTCATCTGCATAATAAAATGCATTTATTCCCCCGCCCCCCCCGCCATAACAACTGTTAAAACAGACTCCAGAAAGCCAGCTCTCTGCGGACGACAGGAAGGCAGAAGTTTATAACTGCTCATCTCTTAGCACGTGGCAGTCAGGCCTCTCGTCAGCATGACTCCATGGCTGACCCAGCAAATAACACAAACATTTATTTTTTTGTTTTGTTTTTAACATTTGTTTATTCTTGGGAGACCGAGAGAGAGCACGAGCAGAGGAGGGACAGAGAGAGAGGGAGACACAGAATCCGACGCAGGCTCCAGGCTCTGAGCCATCAGTACGGAGCCCGACGCGGGGCTCCAACCCACGAACCGGGAGATCATGACCTGAGCCGAGGTCGGACGCTCAACCGACTGAGCCACCCAGGCGCCCCGAACATTTGTTTTGTTTTTCATCACAAAGTCCACTGTGCCATTTCTGCCAAATACCATCACTGCCGTGCACCTGCAGATCAGCTAATGCCCGTACTCAGTCATTGTTAAATAATCAATGGAAAGTCATTACAGCCTTGTTGCTCACAGTGCAGCCTGCAGACCAGCTTGTCAAAGTGCAGAATCTCAGACCCTGCCCGGCCTTGCCAAATCAGGATCTGCATTTTAACTGGATTCCTGGGTGATTCCTATACACACAGAAGTTCCAGAAGCCCTGGTCTACAGAGAGGAGCTCTTTCTCAGAAAAAACCCAGGGTGCCTGGGTGGCTCAGCTGGTTAAGCGTCCAATTTTTGATTTCTGCTCAGGTCATGATCTCACGGTGCCTGAGTTCAAGCCCCACGTCAGAGCCTGCTTGGGATTCCCTCTTCTCTCCCTCTATGCCCCTCCCCTGCTCCTGCTCTCTATCTCAAAATAAATAAATAAATACACTTAAAGAAAAGAAAAGACCCTCAAGCAGTGGTCTGGCTGACTGGCTACACATGACGTCACCTGGGACCTAAACATCCCATTTCCTGAGTTCAGGTCTCAGAGATTTGGAGGTAATTCGGTCTAGGTGTGGCTTGGGCATTGGGGGTTTTAAAAGCTCCCAGGTGATTCTCTGTGCTGCCACATTTGAGAGTCTTGGCTGGGCTTTGAACCTTCCCTGCTATTTGCTCGAAGTACAGATGCCCAAGCCCGACCCCCAGAAGTCCTGAGCTCAGTGAGTCTAGGGTAGTAGGGCTCAGGCTTATAGACTTGGAGGCCTTAGTGGAAGGGTCCCCCGGGAGGTTCCAGGCTGAAGACCCACAGAGCAGAGCCACAGGGAGCTAAAGGTTGCACACCTCATGAAAGTGCTCTCTCAGGGATTTCTGGAGCCCTTTGCCCCCGACTTCCCCCAATCTTAGCTGAAGAACAAAGCGCCAGGTTATTGAGTGCTGCGTCTCAAACAGGCCTGGGTATTCTCCACACTCTCAGATGTCGCTGCTCTGGGTGCAATATATGTATTCCCGAAACCCCCCATATTCTGCAAAAATCACACCCTTTAAATTGTCAGGGCTCCTGAGAAAAACAGCATTCCTCACAGGTCCCTTCATAAACAGGTCATTTTAATAAAAAAAAAAAAAAAAAAAAAAAAAAAAAAAAAAGGTGCTTTTTGAACCAGGAAGTTCACTTGGACTGTGCAGGGAGGCAGCTCAGGTTAGCCAATAGTTGCCATGGTACATATTAAAAATATACAAGATAACTGAGTGGAAATGCTGGCAGCCCTTTAGTTAGGCAAGTCAGAGGGTGCTGAGGCAGCAGGGACAGAATTGGGTCTCTGGCCAGCATGGCTGCTGTGGAGCTGGGCCTGGGGGTGAGGGAGGGGTGGGGAGCTGGGCCTGGGGTGGGGGAGGGGTGGGGAGCTGGGCCTGGGGTGGGGGGAGCTGGGCCGGGGGGGTGGGGGGGGGGTGGGGGAGGAGTGGGGAGCTGGGCCTGGGGGGTGGGGGGAGCTGGGCCTGGGGGTGCACACTGCCCTCAGACACACAGGTCCAGAGTGCATGTCTCAGGAGAGAGGAACTACAAGGACACACGTCATTTTTTATTTTATGCAAAGAGGCCTTCAGAGAGTCTGCTGCCAATGCAAAAATTGAGCTGAAGGCCCTTCCCTTTCCTGCTCAAGATTCTATACTGCAGCTACTCAGGGCCCCCTGGCCTAGGAGAAAATCACATATGAATGTATCTGCATTATACTGACCTCATTCCCCTACTAACCCATCTCAGACAGATAACTCATTGTAGATCCTGTGCACAGGGAACCCCCCCCCCCCCCCCGGGGCTGAAGGCCTCCTTCTCAGGGGCTCAGAGCAGTGCAAAGGGAGGGCCTGGATTATTTGCACTGGAATCATTCCCTAAGGTGCATGTTTAAGAACACAGATCTCTAGGGGCACCTGGGGGGCTCAGTGGGTTAACCGCCGGACTCTTGGTTTCAGCTCAGGTCAGGATCTCAAGCCCCACATCTGGGCTGTTAGCGCAGAGCCTGCTTGGGATCCTCTCTCTTTCTCTCTCTACCCCTCCCCCCGTCACGTTCTCTCTGTCTCTCTCAAAACGAATAAACATTAAAACAATTACAGATCTCTACATTTTACCCCCGGCTTGTTGAATCTGCCCTGTAACAAGAGCTCTGGGTGGCCCTCGTGGGCAGTAAAACTCCAACCACGGGCGTAATTAGACCAAGATCTAGCGTGAATACTACCGCTTGAGGTGTTCCCGTAAAGAATCACAGGATTTTGGAAGCAACAGGAAGCTTGGGGCTTGTCAGGTGTAACCCCTTGGCCCTGGGTGGGGGGGGAAACCTCGCGATTTGGA